TATGTTGCATTCCCTATTCTTTGATCACTTATATCTATGTATATAATTTAATTTTCTTTTCTTTTTCATTAAATTTCATCATTCGCATATTTGTGACCCCTTCAAGAAATTATTTTGGCTTTCGCAATTAATGCGATTGGTATCAATTAAACCCTTGAATGGACATTTTGTCCCTCTCGATATTTTTATTTGCATCCATGTAAGAAACATCCAAATGTGATAAATTTAAGGGTTAGATTAAGAAAATTTTAACTAAACCACGCAACTAGTTTAGACTAGGTTGAAAGGGTGTCTTAGGTTTGAGATAATCGAACATTTGCCTTCCCTTTCTACAACCGTGACTCCCGAACTCATTTTCTCTGTTTTCAAAGATTTGGAGTTGTCGAAAAGGGTTTTATTTTATTTTATTTACAAATATTTTGGGGTGACTTGGTACACCAAAACTCAATACTAAGTGGCGACTCTTATTTTTTCTTAAAAACCCTTTTTAGACTAAATTTTGGACCCAAACTGTCACATTCTTTAAAGTCCCATTTTAGGTCCTTTTTCACTTATTTTTAAATAAAATCACATTTTTTATAAACATCATCTTATTTTCCCATCGCGAAAAAATGGGGCGCGACAATAAGTTTTCCTTTGCCATACATACTTCTATCTTTGCCTACTACTATTGCGCTTCCGTATTATCTTCGTGCATTTTGTGTTAAGGCTGAACTAGCCAACTGTTCATAACTTAAGTCTTGAACATATGCTAATGTCGCATGGGATATTGGTTTGTAGGAAAACAAACAACTTGTGACAAGTGGTACATAATCAAGTTACATACATATATATACATATATATACATATATATATGTATATATGTATGTATGTCTCTTTCATTTCAGATTTCTTATTCTTGACATTGCATTTTCAAGAAATGCATTAGCACCTAAAAACTCTAACACATCCCATCAAGAAGTGTATTAACACCTAAAGATTTGAACAGCATTTTAACAAGTGTAACGTTCTTGTAACTCCTGAAGATCATTGGTAATACAGCAAAATAGAAATGGAGAATCAAGAAGATCATCGAAAGGGCGTTGTTAACAACATTCTAGGTTAGAACCCAAGTATAAAAGATGCCCTTGATCCACCAAATCAGCCTCATCAACCCTACATCACCCCAACAAGAAGATAATGAACAACCTGATAAAGTAGGGATAGATAGCTTTATTGATGACTCTCTGCTTGATAGCCCAACGTCAGAGGTTCTTTCTGGTTATAATATCAACCTGCAAATGAATCTGCGAATGAAACTGCACCCCAACAAGAAGAAAAATTGAATTTGAAGCAGATTGGGATGGCTTTGCTGACAACATTTTGTTTGAGAACCCTACTTTGGCGGATGTTAGTGGTCGAGTAAATCAACCTAATCAACCTGCAACACCCTAACAAGATGATAATCAAGTACCACAAGCAGTATCAAATGGCTTTACTAATGAGTTTCTACTTGCCAACCCAACTTTGGAGGTCCCTGTTGGTTTACAAGATCACCCAGAAGAACCTGCACCAGAACAAGAAGAATCCCATGAAGTCCAAGGAGTATGGGACGGCTTTGTTTATTGTTTGGAAATCCAACTTTGGAAGATGTCTTTGGCCCAGTAGACCAACCTAATCAATTTGCACTGCTACAACAGGACAACATTAATCAAGAAACAGAATGAGGATTGAACGGCTTTACTGCTACATTTCTACTTGACAGCTTCAGAGGTCCCCCTTGGTCTACAAAATCACCCTGAAGAACCTGCAACCCAAGAAGAAGAACATAATGAAGTTGAGGTAGTCTCGGATGGCTTTGTTAACGGCATCTGGTTTGAGGATCCAAGTTTGGAGAATGTTACTGGTCCAATAGTTCAACCTAATCACCCTGCAATACAATACAATATTATGATGTATTTCTATACTAAAAATTTAAATATGTACAATGATTGGACTGAACTGTAGAAAACACAATTGTACTCGGTCCGTGTCCTAAAACACTAACCAATATAATGGACTAAACGGATATGGGGCAGGAACGATCAACAGAGAAACCATCCGGACCAGTTTTGTGCATTTTGCATAAGATGTAACTCACTTTGCACAACGTGTAACTATGAAACAAAATTTTGTGGGTCCCACACATAGTGTGAAAATTATATATAAGATGAAATCTGGACTTTACATTTTTTTTAACCAAATCTTAGTCGTCAACCTTTGCGTGATGGTTGCTTCCTTGCCCCAAATCCAGACTAAACCATAACAAAGCAAGTGATGAACTTGGACCAGCAAAGTGGTACGCACCTACACAAAAGGTCCTGGCCAAGTATTGATTTTATTTCATGGCCTATATGTATTATATGCTTTCCTTGATAAAAGATAAGTACAACAAAGAAATTGTGGATCCAATAGTAACATTCAATATTTGATGAAGTAACACTAGTCGTTAAAGTTACATGTATGTTACTGTATTCTTCAGAATAAAGGGAGTGTAACTTCATAAGACCAAAACTCATGCTTAGAGAGAAAAAAGTGTATGCCACTAGGGTGGTTCTTCGACCCAATTACATATCAAGTAACATTAACAGCTGTGCTTCTATATCCCAAGATAAACCGAAAGTACTTGTATTACTATTGACTTCCTAATCCAAAATCTTTTCTTCAATGGATCTTGACTTACTAAGAGTCTACAAGAAAAAAACTAAATGGTAACTATTACTATTTCCACCTAACCATACTTGAATTATTACATTTTACATTAAAAAAGATTCTACAATTAGTACATTTTACTTATGGATTAATTTTATATACAATGTCAGTGTACATACTATCACAGTTAAATAGATGACACACGTATAAAATATAAAAGGGAAAAATCCATTTTTCATCCTCAAACTTTGTGACTAAGACACATTTGCTCCCCAAACTTTTTGACAAGACACATTGAGTACATGTATTAACTATTTTTTCTCACATTTAGTCAAAAAACGGGAAAATTTTCAATTTGGACGGTGAAACCCACGTGGCTATTAACTTATGCATCGGGAATCAATGCAAGTCAGACTAAAGTCCACACATTCTCTCTCTAATGCAAGTCGACACAAAATGTTGACTAAAAGTACACTCTCTGTCCTAAGAGTAGAGCTCCTTTTCTTCTCCAAGTTTATCCCGCTCCCTTTCTTTTTCAAGTTTCCCCCTTTCCCACTTTCCCATTCCGTCCTGAGAGTGGAGCTTTCGGAACCCAAGTGGAGCTTTCCAGTTCGATGATTGAAGACCACCAAACGTGGAGAACATGTCTGTTCGGAAGAAAGAACTCAACGATCGTACACCCCCAAATTACGGTAAAATTTCTAGGCTATTTAGATAAAGAATTAAATGTAAAAGTTTTTAACTTTTGTGAGTATAATATGTAGATGTGGTCCCTGATGTTTGCATTGTGGGTATATTCTGGTTACTTTGGGTTATGTTGGGTTGAAGATTAATTATTTTTAATCTGATTGTCGGAGCTGACAAAGGCATGTGGTCCTTATTTCTGATTATGATATTAAGATGGGCCTATAAAATGTAGTCTTTATCTGTGATTATGACATTTATGCATTATTGAGTGCTTCGTTGTTAATGTTAATGTATACCCTGTTGAGTATTGTATGATTGATATGTGCATTTTTTTATCAGAGCAATGCAGTATGCTTATAACTCTAAGGTGTCACCATGGAGGGTTAATTTCCTACACTCCTCATCCACGTTATGAGGGTGGAGATGCATGTGTCATTGACTATGTTGAAAGCATAGGTTTAAGTGTCTTTGAAGTAGATAGATTGACTGAAAGTGCTGGTTTGTACGGACACAAAGTGTATTATGGTTAGGAAAACAGTAATTTTATAAGGATAGAAACAAGTAGGCAATTGCATGGATATATTAAGAGAAATAGTGGTTTAAATAGGGAAATTATTTTGTATGTTGAGATCTCATTCCATGAAATCTTTGTTCAACAGTTAGGCTATGATCCTTATCAACTTGGTGAGAATGAAGGGGCTGATGGTAATGACAATTTGAATACACCTAATGCTGATCGTAGATGGGGAGAGAGTGAGAATGAGGCTAATAGGAACAATAATAATGATTCTAATTCAGGGAATGAATTCTTTTTCTCAGCAGTGGACTCTGATTATAACATGACTGATAGTGATGATAATGAGTTGCATGACAATATAGACAAAAATGCTGAATGGTTAAGTGTAGAGCACCATGAGAATTTTCCAAAAAATAAGCCAATTGAAATTGAAAGGGATGACAATTTTGTGATGCTAGAGGACAATGATGTTGCCCCATCTTCTGAATCTGATTTTGAAACTGTGAATGAACATGATGATGATGAAACCAGCAGTGAATGTAGAGTCTTTAACCCTAAAGATATTGACAATCCAAAATTAAAATTAAAAATGATGTTTAGTATATAAAGAAGTGCAAGTTGGCAATCACAAATTATAGTGTAAGACAGGGCAGACCATGTAAATTTGTGAAGCAGGATAAAATAAGATTGAAGGCTAAGTGTAGAAGTGAAGGGTGTGACTGGCTTATTTATGCTGCAAAATTGAGTAGGGAAGGTAGTGTGCAAATCAAGACATTTGAGAACACCCACAAATGTGGTTTCACCTATGACAATCCACTTGTAAATTCTGGATGGGTTGGCAGAAAGTATACGGAGGAGTTTAGGACTAATCCTAAGGTAAATATGGAGCACTTTAGAAAGACTGTAATGAAGGATAATAAGTGCTCTTTCTCCAAAAAACAAACATACAGGGCCAGGAGAAAGGCTATGAAGATTATTCATGGCAGTGAAACTGACCAATATAGTAAGCTAGGAGCATACATTCATAAATTTCAGAAATCTAACCCTGGAATCTCCATTATATTGAAAATTGTGGATGAATCTACAAGTACAGCAACACAGTAACAAAGGTTCCAAAGGTTGTACATGTGTTTTAATAGAGTGAAGCAAGGTTTCTTAGTTGGATGTAGGCCTTTGATTGGAGTAGATGGTACATTCTTGAAAAGGTCAATTGGGGGAGTTCTATTGATAGCTGTTGGATTAGATGCTAATAATAGCATTTATCCACTTGCATATGCTGTAACAGGGGGAGAAAATAAGGACTCTTGGGCATGGTTCTTCAAATTACTCAAAGAAGACTTGAAAATTGAAAGGGATTATGAGTGGACTATCATGAGTGACAAGCAAAAAAGCCTGATTCAGGCATGTGACAATGTTTTTCCAAATGCAGCTCATAGATTTTGTGTGAAACACATGCATGGCAACTTTTCATCTGCTGGATTCAAAGGAGAAGCTCTGAGAAAAGCCTTATGCGTTGCTGCAAAGGCAACTAGTCCAGCAGAATTTGCCAGCAAAATGGAAGAAATAGCAGCAATTGACAAACATGCAGCCAAGTGGTTTGATGATAAACCTCCATCTCAATGGAGCAGAGCCTACTTTAGTACTTATCCAAAGTGTGATATCTTGTTGAATAATGTGTGCGAGTGTTTCAATAGCAAAATATTAGATGCAAGGGAGAAATCAATCATTGAAATGCTGGAATTGTTAAGATTGTATATGATGCAAAGAATGCAGCAAAATAGGGACTTGGCAGTGAATAAGTGGAAAGACTATATGCACTGTCCTAGGATTGTTGAGAGAATAGAAAAAAGGATGGAAAAGGCCACTCAGAGTTTTCCTTTCAAATCCAATGATGATTTGTATGAGGTTTCCTGTCCATATGGTGATCATTATGTAGTAAACATCAAAGACCATACATGTTCATGTAGGAGATGGGAGCTGACAGGAATTCTTTGTCCCCATGCTATTTCTGCACTATGGATAGCAAAAAAAGATCCAATGTTGTATGTATCCAGTTGGTATACAGTGGAAAAATACTTGTTATGCTATGAAGGCTGTGTGTGTCCAATGAGTAGGGAAAGAAATTGGAAGAACACTGGTCTTAAAGGTCCAAAACCACCTTTGTATGGTAAACTAGCTAGAAGACCAAAGAAACAAAGGAGGCGAAGTATGGATGAAGTAGAACAAGCAAAGGAAAAACAGAAAAAGAAAATGAGCAAAGTTAGTGCAGTGATAAGATGCAAATATTGTCTGCAAAGAGGTCACAATATGAGATCTTGCAAGCTTAGAAAGGATGAACATACTGAAGCTGTCCATACAGGCTCCCAAGTTCCTCAGAATACCACTGCAAATGTTGAAGACATCTCTGTAGACTGCAATGATACTGAAGCTGAAACTGAAGAGCTAGTTACATGTACTCCCTCAAATTTTTGACAAGAATTCAGTTGATAAGGCAGCTCCAGTGCCTGTAAGTATTGTATGGTCTCACTTTTTCTTAATTTCAAACTTTCTTTAACTTACTGTACGTTATAATGTTGTTGCTTTTGCAGAAAAGAAAGAAACAGAAAAAGGGGATGCAGCTAGACCAACAGAAATAGTTGTTGATGTTGGTGTCAAAGAGCCTGTCCTATCTTCACTTAATTTGTATGAAGTGTTTGGTTTAAAAAGGTCTCAAGTGAAGTACAGCCAACCATTACACCCAAGAAATGACAAGGATAAAGTGTCTCTCAGGATTAGGACTAGACATATGGACGTGGCTGCTACCAAACAAAGTGTTGCTGCTTCGTCTAGGCTGAAGGGAAAAAAGAAATTGCCATAGTCTTATTATGCGGCTACCAAACAAAGTGTGCTGATGCTTTTTTATGTAATAGTCTTAGTCTTTGTCTTAGTCTTTTGCTAATGTTTTTGAACAAGATGCTTTCATTATGGTGCTGATCACCTTTTTGAGAAAATTTATGTTCCTTGAACAAGTTCTCCATTTTGGTATTATTTTAAGTTCTTACTTAATGGAAGTGATGCCAATTTGTCTCAACTTGATAATGTTCATTTACACTCCATTATATCTTCATTCATAGAGCTGAACTTCCTAGGGGATTAGAGGATGATCTCTAAATGATAAGTTCTGAGGTCTGCAGTTTTTTTTTTTACAATGAGCTCTTCACAGGGTAATTTTACATCTTTTTGTTTATTGATCTCATGTAGCTCTCCTTATGGTAGTTCTTGTGATCACTATATTTATTGTTTCTAAAGGTTAATGTTTGTGGACTGATATCCCTCAAAAATTAAGTTTCAAGTTGATTATGAGCCAAAGTTTTGGAATGAACAAGTAAAAAAAAAAAAGAAAACAAAATCTCATTCTTTTCCTACACCATTAAGTAGAAAAAGCACTGAGGAGATAACACAATCTTCATATCACACAATCTCGTATATGAAGATGCACAACAACCATTTCACGCAATTAATAATAGGAAAAGCATGAAATAAAGAATATATACTAAACATATGGGATTGCAGATTTTATTACAACTTCAGTCAAAGTTCTGCCCCATGAAAGCATGCTATTTCTACGTTTACAAAGCATGCCCCATGAAACATATGATAGTGCAGATTTTAGGAAAAGCATGCCCCATGAAAGCATTTTATTTCTACATTTACAAATTCAGTCAAAGTTCTGCCCCATGAAAGGAACGAACCACAGTCATCACCCCCAGATTCGGTAACTCATTCCAAGCTTAGTACCAATTTTCCTTCTCTTGCATGCCCCCTATTTTTCCCAGCAACAGAGATCATAAGTAGCATGGCCAATATCAAGATAATACAAATCATAATTTTTTCCCTTCTTCGGCCTTTTTCAATTGTTTCCTCCATCTTATTTATCCTTCTCAGCAAACCTGGTATTATGCTCCTTCCTCTTGCACAGATTGGTTCATCAAGTCATTCAAAATATTTGCACCTTTCTGACCTCTGCAAATACAGCATATTGTTACAGTAAGGGCATTTCTACACTTTCAACAGAGCAAAGAAACACACGCACACAGGATAAGGACATTTCTAGACTTTACTTACAAAAAATTAGACTACGCTTACCGGCCATCTTGGACAACCGTAGAATCTTCTTCCAGGATTATCATCCCGCCAAGAAGTTGTCAATTTGGGTTTTAATCCACACCACACACACGGGTACTGCTACTTGACGAAATCGACGATTCTGAGCTTCGTGACCTTATTTTGCTGACAAGTACGAATTGAAGATGAAAAGGAGTTGCTTGATATGGTGGATCACTCCATTAATTCTATTGGATTAGAAAAGTTTCGTTGAATCACTCCCCTACCTCTGCTAATCTCACGCAACTTTTCACTCCACTAGCTCGGTAGGAAAGGGATAAACTTGGAGAAGAAAAGGAGCTCCACTCTTAGGATAGAGAGTGTACTTTTAGTCAACATTTTGTGTCGACTTGCATTAGAGAGAGAATGTGTGGACTTTAGTCTAACTTGCATTGATTTCCGATGCATAAGTTAACGGCCACGTGGGTTTCACCGTCCAAATTGAAAATTTTCCCGTTTTTTGACTAAATGTGGCAAAAAATAGTTAATACATGTACTCAATGTGTCTTGTCAAAAAGTTTGGGAACCAAATGTGTCTTAGTCACAAAGTTTGAGGATAAAAAATGGATTTTTTCCAATATAAAATTCAAATTCAAATTTTACTCACGTATCATCCATCCAATCATGATAGTGCATACGTTGACAGTGTATATAAGGTTTACTCTTTACCTATATATCAATACATAAATAATGTAAAAGAGAAAAAACATGTATATTGCTATCATACTTCTCCATGAATGTTTCTAATGGGCACTCAGTAACACACACTTAAAATTTACTTAACCTATAATTAGGTATGTCAATGGGTAGGATTTGGTTTGGATCTCTTTAATCCAGATCCACGCCAATTTAATTTATTCAGATTCAGACCCAAATTCAAATCCTTTTGTATCTGAAAAAGTAAGTTCATGCTCAGACCCTTATGGATTTGGGTATCCAATGGACATCCATGGGTATTTTCTGAACATACTAAAGTAAAAATATATTGAAAATATATACTAAAGTAAAAATCGGTATCCAATGACTTTTATTTCATTCATTATTTTAGTGCTGAATTGCGAGACATCTACTAACATTAAGGTTTAAATAAGAAAAAAAGGTACAAAATTACATTTTTTTAATAAAACTAAATATTTATATATGTTATGGTTGTTTGCTTTTTTAAAAACTAATCTTAGTTATCATTGTAATTGGTACAAACTTTTTCAAGAAAAGGAGAAAAGGTAAAGGCAAACAAATAAAATATTAGATATGGATGAAGTTGAATATTTGAAAATATATAGAAGTAGTCAATAATAATTCTTTCTTTGAGTTCACAATATTGCATTCAACTTGCTGAATATTAATTTTATTATTTGAAAACAAAAATTGGATGGTATTTATATTACTAAGAATCGATGGCAAATAAATAATAGAATAAGAAGATTTATGAACACTTACTCATTTTTTCTTTGATTCAATCCAATCATCAGAAGTCACTAATGTTTCAACCCCATCTAGAAACAATTTAGCACGAGTCTCATCAATCGCCCAACCACGAACACTAAATGTAGATTCTGATGCCATAAAATCTTATTGTATTATATCCAATAGCCATAAAATATAAGATTATTTTAAAATTTTACTAATATATATTATTTAATTAAATATATATGTGTTTGGGTAAGGTTTTGTATGGATCTGAATTTAGATATGGATTTTAAAAAATTAGACTCTACACATACTCACGACTCTCTCATAGGGTCTGGGTTTGGGTAGAGTCTGAATTTGAGAAATTAAATCTAAACATAACCCAAATATATTGGGTCTAGTTAGATTTGGGTAAAACCCGACCCATTGACATGTCTACTTATAATGTACATATACATACTCACAATTATTGTCCTCCCTTATATTTATATACTTTCCCTAATTAAACTTAACTACCCTTCGATCGTTGTATTTATTTATTTTCCTTAATTGATCTTATATTTTTAGAAAAAATATAATGCATGAAATATAGTTTAATAAGTGGCAAATGAACATTTGTTAGAGCCCTTTCTTCAATTAGATAACTTAACTACCCTTCGATCGTTGTATTTATTTATTTTCCTTAATTGATCTAATAGTTTTAGAAAAAATATAATGCATGAAATATAGGACCTGTTTGGAACCTGAGTTTTTTAGGAGTTTGTCTAAAATTTTACCGTAGTGCACTGTAGAAGTTTTTGAAAAAATTTTGTAAAAGTTTTTGTAAGGTGAATTTTTTTTCCTTTTTTTTTTCTTTCTTTCTCTTTCTTTTTCTTTTTTTTTTCTTTCTTTCTTTTTTTCTTTCTCTTTCTTTTTCTTTTCTTTCCTCTCTTTCTTCTTCTTCTTCTTCCTTCACGCTCCCACCACCCCTCCCCTTCCTCTTCTCCTCTCCTCTACATTTTCCCCGCCAGCCCCCTTCCCCCTCCCCCTCCACTCTGCACGCCACCCCCTCCCACCGCCAGCCCTTCCCCCTCTGCCCCTTCCCCTCCCCTCTGCACGCCACCCCCTCCCTCGCCTGCCCTTCCCTTTCCCCCGCTGCTGCGCCACCCCTCCCTTTCCCCTTTTCCTCTCCTCTGCATTTTCCCCGCCAGCCCCCTTCCCCCTCCCCCTCCACTCTGCATGCACCCCCTCCCCCCTCCAGCCCTTCCCCCTCCCCTCTGCACGCCACCCCCTCTGCCCCGCCACCCCTCCCGTTTCCCCTTCCCCTGTTCCTCTTCCCGTTTCCCGTTTCCCCTTCCCCCTCCCTCTGCACGCCACCCCCTCTGCCCCGCCACCCCCCTCCCGTTTCCCCTTCCCCTGTTCCTCTTCCCGTTTCCCGTTTCCCGTTTCCCGCCAGCCCCCTTCCCTATTCCCCTGTTCCCCCGTCACCGAGGAAAGTAACTGCTGCTGCTGCATAGGTTGGGGGAATTTGGCCAGGGAGGGGAGGGAAGGAGAGAGGGAGGGAGAAAGGAAGGGAAAAAATTTTGGGAACGCCGGCGCCGGAAACGGCAGCGGAGGTGGTGGCCGGCGATGAAGGTACGGTGGATGGGGTGGGGGAAAAAGAAGAAGAAAGATAGAAGTTTTTTGAGTATTAGATATTTGAAGTGTGTAGGTTAAAAAATTTGATAAGTTTTTTTGAGTTCCTGTAACTAAAGTTATTAAAAAACTTGTAGCTAAAAAACTTGGGCAAAAAACTCACTTCCAAACAGGCCCATAGTTTAATAAGTGGCAAATGAACATTTGTTAGAGCCCTTTCTTCAATTAGATATGCTTCTATCTTCCAAGTAAATTTAAAAAAAAAATACTCGAATCACTAGTACTTATTAGTTAATCCAAAATCT